GAGGAGTCTCAGTTTGTTGCTCAGGCTGGAGTGCAGTGGCACGCCCACAGTCACTGCACCCTTGACCTGCTGGGCTCAGGTGATCCTTCTGCCTCAGCCTTCCAAGGAGCTGGAACCACAGATGTACACTGCCACATCCAGCTAATTTTTTGATTTATTGTAGAGACAAGGTCTTGCCAAGTTGCCCAGGCTGGTCTCGAACCCCTGGACTCAGGCAATCTTCTCACCTTTGCGTCCCAAAGTGCTGGGATGACAGGCATGAGTCACCACGCCCGTCCCCTATATGATCTTAATGGGCCTCTTTGCTCTCACTGTAACATTCTCCAATCCACATTCTTTACAGCTGCTAGTGATTTTTTTAAAAAATCTGTATTTTTCTATGGGGTAGCAGTAAAAAGAACGGGCTGTAAAGCAGGACAGATGGGATAGTGGTGTACTGCTAAACAACAAATTACCCCAAAACTTAGTGGTTAAAACATTTAGCATCTCATGGCTTCTGTGGGTCAGGAACCTGGGCATGCTTTAGCTGAGCACCTCTGCTTTGTGGCTTGTCACGAGGCTGCAAGCAAGGTGTCAGCCAGGGCTCTGGTCTCATCTGAAAGTTCAACCAGGGCAGGATCTGCATCCAAGCTCACTTGGGTGGTAGGTGGCAGGATGTAGGTCCTCACAGACTGTCGGCTGGAGGCCGCCTTCAGTTCATTGACTCTCAGCTGCTCCGGGGGGCAGCTGGTGTCCAGCATCAGCTATGTCCTGCAGTGCTCAGCACAGACCAGGCTCAGGGAATACTGCTGAGTTACTCCAGCGGCCAAGTGGAACTGCAGTTGCAAACGTGCTGTCTCTGTCCTCCTGTCGCTGGTGACGACCAAGGTGGAGACTGGCACATCGCTGCCCTGTTCCACACGCTTCAGTGGCTTCCACTTCGCCAAAGATAAAAGCCACATGCCGGCTGGTGCTCAGGGTCCTGCCAACTGTCCAACCTCATGCCATGGTGCTCTGTTCCTCAGCCAAACTGCCTCAGTCCCACTGGACTGGACTGTACCAGTCTCTTTCCCACCGGGGGGTCTGAGCCATTCAACTCTGCCTGGCTGACTCCTATTTATCCTCCAGGTCTCAGTTTAACTATTACTTCCTCAGACAGGCCTTCTGCGCATACTCAGTCTAAACTGGATCCCCTGGTATATTCTTCCCTAGCAGCACCCTGTATTGCACTTACTAGTGTCAAATGCTATCTTCATGGTATTATTTGATTCATCTCTCTCTCTCTCCCTCCCTAACTATACACTCAAGCTTGGGACTCTATCAGCTTTGCTTACCACTGCATTTCCACTCCCCAACACAGTGTCCACTCACAGTAGGAAACTCACAGGTTTATAAAAAACTTTCCTCTGGAAATTTCAGTCAGTCATAGGTAAGTAACTACATTGTCTTTCAACAATTTAAACTGATAAGGAACATTTGCATTCTTAAATTTTATAACGGAGATTTTGTTTGCCACAAAACAGTTTCCAAGTCACTTGGCTGCTATGGAGGTGTCAATAATACGAGTTTTTGGTGTGGGCTGGGCATTGATAATGAACACCTTTTTTCTTTTTTTGAATTGGAGTCTCACTCTGTCACCCAGGCTGGAGTGCAGTGGCATGCTCATGGCCACCCCAGCATCGATCCACTGGGCTCCGGGGATCCTTTCACCTCAGCCTTCCAAGGAGCCAGAACTCAGGTACACACTACCACACACGGCTGCCCAGGTTGGTCTTGAACCCTCAGGCTCAGGCAATTCACTCGCCTCGGCCTCCCAAAGTGCTGGGATTACAGGCTAAGCCACTGAGCCTGGCCAATGAACACTTTTCTAAAGCATGCAACTGAAAGCCAAGTTGAAGCTCAGACTAATCTTTTTCTTTTTGTCTCATAATCTTTTTAAAAAAAATCATATTTGAATTGTATAGCAATTCAGTTCCTCTAAATAATAACTGTATTTTAGTAGCGATCTTTCTGAAGTATTGGCATCATGCTCATTATGTTACAAAAAATCCATGCCAAATATCTAAACATGACATCTCTTTAACCCAGGCACTTAAATACCAATCTGGGCAAGACATTTTAAACATGTTAAAAAAAAAAAGAAAAAAAAAAGGAAGGGTAGTAATCATAACATCCTTAGAAGCTGAATCTTGAATATAAAAACTTTTGTTCCCTATTCCTTCTCTATTATTTTTTGTCTTAATTTTCTCTTGCTTCCAGCTGATTAGTTTTCTGCTAAATTAAAATTAGTCAGATTTTCTGAGCCTGTCATGCTGACATTTCAGCTCTTTATCTCCATCTTATACACATTGCAGAGATTTGTCACTGTTGTTCGAAATAATGGAATATTCTTAAGTTGTTTTCAGCCATAGATTATTTAGGTTTGTTCTTACTGGCAGGTCCTGATCCTGCTTGCTGCTAATTTATTTGGCAGAGGGAAGCAAGAGTTTTGCAACTATTGCCAGAAACACCGCGTTACGACTAACCTCAGTGCACTCTTCACCAGGCACAGCAGGAATGAAGGCAGACAAACAGAGGATGGATAAGAGTGTACACTCTGCAGCCAGAACGCCCAGATGAACTGGCCTTCTCAATGACCAGCTGTGTGACTCTCGGCAAGCACCTTCAACCACCAGTGCCTCAAATTCCCCATCTGAAACGGTGACAAAAATACACTCACCTCAAGGGGATGGTGAGGACATAAAATTAGCTAATTTTCATAAAACTCTTGGAGCAGTTTCTGGCCCACAGTAGTAAGCACAATCTACACGCTTACTGACTGATTTATGTATATTCATACTTCTTTTTTCAAGGGTTTTTAAAAAATGCTTTTCTATCTTCAGAGCCATACTCTCTGGCTAGAGTGTAAGGATACTAAATCTACAGCACATATTCAAGATCTGTGGCTATGCCATGTTGGCTGTAGATGGATAACAAAGGTCTGCTGGGCTTCAGGTACTACACCTACCAAACGGTGCTACCGCCAGTCCTGCAGGACTTTTGAGGGTCAGAGAGAGCACTGTCTAGTGCAAGACTGTGCTCTCAGGCACCTACGTGGACACAGACACATGCACATAACCCCCTGCCTTTTTTGGGTGGGGGGCGGGTCTTGCTCTGTCGTCCAGGTTGGAGTGCAGTGGCATGCTCATAGCCACCATCGCCTCCACTTGCTGGGTTCAGGCGATCCTTCCCCCTCAGCCTTCCAAGTAGCAAGGAACCCCAGGCGTGCGCCATCACACCTGACTAATTTGTTGATTCACTGTAAGGACAAGGTCTCATCGTGTTGCCCAGACTGGTCTCGAACCTCTGGGCTCAGACAATCCTCTTGCCTCAACTTCAAAGTGCTGTGATTTTAGGTATAAGCCACCACGACTTTTTTTTTTTTTTTTTGAGTGTGTGTGTGGGGGGTCTCAATCTTGTTGCCCAGGCTGAAGTGTAGGGGTACAATCATGGCTCACTGCAGCTTTGACCTCCTGTGCTCAGGCAATCTCCTGCCTCAGCCTCCCAAGTAGCTGGACTACAGGCATGCACAACCATGTCTGGTTAACTTTTTTTTGTAGAATGAGGTCTTGCTATGTTGCCCAGGGTGGTCTTGAACTTCTGGGCTCAGGTGAAACTCCTGCCTCGGCCTCCCAAAGTGCTGGGATTATAGGCATGAGCCACCATGCCCAGCCTCACACACCCCCTTTAACACTCCCAAGTATTTGGGCAAGTTATAAAGGGCAATCAGTAAAGCCAAATCACTCTACATTAAAATTCACTCATTACAAAGTTAAAAAAGCTAACTAAAGTCATTAAGATCTTGAAGTGAAAAAAAGCAAGGACATGACTGTATGAAGACTAACGTAACAGGGTTTGTGTTTTGTCAAGGACATTCTGCATCCATACACAAAACCTTCCCATATCATCCTGTCAGTGATACACTTTCACTTTTGAGAATAATTCAGTCCAATTTAGAGATTTTGTTGTTTCTAGTAGTATACCACCGAATCTAACCTAAGTGTTCACTCACTGCAGATCAGAACATATTTGAACTCTAGGCTTTAACCTGCAGAACATGTGGATGGTGATGCTGTCAGGCTATGTCACCAAAGGATTCTTCTTGCAATATCTCAAATATATAGAGTTTACAAATAAGAAACATTTCCGATTAGCACTATAGGCTCAAGTTACAAAAACAGTGGCATGGAATTCCAGTCTTCCTATTTAATTTCCTAATAATTCTTGATGTCCATGACAGGAAATTATGTTTTGAAGTATACTTTATTTTGAATGAGTTCTTTATCTGGAGTTGTTTGATAAATAGTATGAGCTTATTAAATAACCTACTTCTTAGCCAGGCACAGAGGTTCATGCCTGTAATCCCAGTACTGCAGGAGGCGGAAGCGGAGGCAAGAGGATTACCTGAGTTCAGGGGTTTGAGACCAGCCTGGGCAACATGGTGAGACCTCATTTTTACAAGAAATCAAAAAATCAGCTGGGCATAGTGGCACATGCCTGTGGTTCCAGCTACATGGAAGGCTGAGGTGGAAAGATCACCTGAGTCCAGCAGGTTGAGGCTGTGGTGGCTGTGAGCCATGCCACTGCACTCCAGCCTGGGCAACAGAGTGAGACTCCAACCCCAAAAATGAATAAATAAATAACCCAGTTTGTATGCCTCTTAGATGTTTTATAATAGGGTCTTTAAGGGAAGTTGGAAGTAGGACCTTTCCAAATGACTAGATGATAAAACGTACACTGTCTCCCCTCAGCAACTAGCCATCTTGGATGTATGAACAGTATTACATGCCATCAATTATCCATGTGAATGCCAAGAGAAAGCTGAACAGAACCCAAGAAGAGGGAAAAAAAGCACCTTCTTTGGTGCTAGCGTGGCACGGATAACTGAGAACTCACACCCTGAGGAGACAGGAGAGCCCAACATCACAGGACAGAACACACAGCCACCCACCCTCAGGGTTCAAATGAGATGTCAACACTTCTTTTTTTGAAACTAAATGCATTTTAATAGAAAACAAAAATACAAAATAACTCTGTTCAGGAAACAAATATTTAACTCTTCTCCCACAAACTGGAGCTTGCCCCTCCTCAGAGCACAGATTGAGCTGCGTGCATGCGCATGCTGCACTTCACAGAATGCTCACTTGGCTGCACTGAAGTGCAGGTGGGTGCCATCGCCGCAGGAGCAGCCGACGTGGGGAAAGCGACACCTCTGAATGGCCATTCGCCAAGTCCACATCTTTCTAATTCTATCTTGTGACTTTTTACTCCAAATTATTCTTTATCACAATCTTTCTTTGAGGGGAAAGAATTATTAACAGAAGTGCAGCCATGAAAAGAATGTTTCTTTCCCACCATCACTGCAAGAGCCCAAAAGGTCCTCATTTAACCCTGCCCGCCCACTTCCAGAAACATGTCAATTGGGGTGATCAATCTATCACCCGAAATTTCCCTTTCTCCCAATACACTGTGCTACCAAATTCTCTGAATTCCCTGATCCTCAAAATTCCAAGTATCAAAGCCAGTGCCAGGAGTCAAACCTGAAAGATAAAAGCAGAGAAGGTCCCCTCTGCCAGTGCTAGGTTTCCTCTTCTCAATAATAATAATAATAATTATAATAACAATAATAAAAAATCCTGGTTCTCTTTAATTAGGGAAAAGGAAAGACTTTTTGCCAGGATCATTCCCTCCCCTTTCCTATTCCCACCCAGTATCCTCCACCAGCAAGGACTCCCCTTCCCCCCAGGGCTGGCCCACCCACGACCCTGGCCACACCCCTCCTCCCCAGAGTTCTCTGCAACCACTCTTAACCAAACTCAGCCCGGGTAGCTGGGAGACGTGAGACAGAGACAGGAAGGGCTGTGCGACATGCGGGCACCGCAGGGTCTTGGTGAGAAACTGCGAGTGACCTCCGAAACACCCTAGAGTCCCAGGTCACATGTCCACGCGCCACCGCTTCGCCTCCCTCCCTTCGCCGCTGGGGGAGCTGAGTGAAGGCAGACCCGCCGCGATGAGGCCGGAGAGAGGGGCGGAGGGGGCTCGTTCACAGCCAGTCCGGGACTCTCTCAGCCCACCGAAGGACGGTGGCCCGAGGCTTTCCGCCACTGCCCAGGCCCACCCAACAAAGACACACAATCAATGTTCCTGGTTTTCTTGTGCAATTCCCGTCACCAGCAGGAGGTTACAGGCCATGAACTGCACGCTCAGGACATTGCTCATCTGCCCGGTGTACACGCCCACAAGCTCGCTGGAAGAGCCATCAGCAGGTGTGCTGCAGTAAGTGTTCCTGATGTCCCACACACGCACTGAATTGTCCATGGAGGCAGAGGCGATAAGGCCGCTGTCCGGACTGAAGGTGAGGCTGGTGACGTTGTCTGTGTGGCCCCTCAGCTCTTTATAGAGGGTCCCGGAGGCCAGGTCCCACAGCTTCAGCCGCTGGTCCTCGCCAGCAGATGCCAAGTACTTACCGTTGGGGGAAAAGGCCAGAGAAAGCACAGGGCCACGGTGGCCTGTGAAGAGCCTCACCGAGTTTCCCTGCTGGGCGCTCCACAGCCGGACAGTCTTGTCGGTCGAGCCCGTAGCTAGGTAGTTGGAATTGGGATGAAACTTGACACAGTCGACATCTGCCAGGTGTCCCGCATATATCCTCAGCGGGTACGTCCGATCAAAGGACCACAGCCTGGCGGTGCGGTCATGGGACCCGCTGGCAAAGTACAGGCTATATGGGCTGATGTCCAGGTCCCACACGGGATAGGCATGTCCTTGGTACAACACAGTGTTGGTGAAACTCCCCAGGTCCCAGTATCTGATGGACATGTCTTCGGAACAAGAGAGCAACCCTGAGCTGTCTGCGAGGAACCTTGTGCTGTATACTGGTCCACAGTGCCCCCGCAGTATCTTCATCTCTGTGCCTGCGTTATCCTCCTCCTCATCCTTGGAACACGGCCGTGGGGTGGGACAGGAAACACACATAAGAAAAAAGCATTCAGACAAAGAAAACAAGCCCGGCAAAAATGAAAATAGAGAACAGGGACTGCTTGGGAAACAGCATCTACTCAGTAAATGACGGTGGCCTTCCCCTGAAAGGCCACCCCAGGAAAGTACCTTATAATCGCATAATTGAATATACAGTCTCTTACAATTTGCAAATTGCTTTTCTTAATCATCGTGCAACTCAGACTATATCAGCCCCAAAGATACAGAAACGCAAGGCTATATTAGAGTACTAACTGTGGACCTTACTCTTTGGCTGATGATAACATATTGGGGGACCCCAAAAAACTCAGAATTGGTTTACAAAAAATTATGTATTTATTCTTGTGTGTTTAAATCTCAGCCACCTTCAAAGTACTCTCTGTTTGACGCAATACACTTATTGGGACGCTTTTCCCAACTACTCACACCAGTTTCTGAACTTGTCAATTCTGATGCCTTTTAGTGCCCGTGCCGTTTTTGTGTCTCACCTCTTCCACACGGCAAAGTGCTTCCCGCTGAGGACCGTTTTCCTCCGGGAAACCAAAAACAGTCCCTCGGGGCGACAGCAGGTGAACAGGGAGGACGCAGCATGGGGGTCATGCTGATTTTGGTCAAAAACCACAGAGCACAGCGGGTGTGGGCAGGTGTGCTGTCATGGTGGAAGAGCCAGTCACCTGTGCGCCACAACTTGGGACGCTCTCTTGTGCAAATCGCGATGCAGCCTTCTCAGAACTTCCACATAAAAACTTTGGTTGACAGCCTGACACGGAAGAACAGGTTCTGAGTGTGCTACAAAGAGCCCGCCCTCCAAAAGATAACGAATTCTTGGGGTCCCCCTTGGTATTCCCAAGTCTGATCAAGAGGCAGCCACGGCGACTTTCGCCGTCAACCCTGACGTTTGTCCTCTGAAAGGACTCACTTCCCCACGGGTGCAAGTTCTTGGAGCCTTCCGGTCTGTGGACACTGTCTTCCCCGGGGTGTCGGCCACGCCGCCGCCACCCCGCTCCCTGCCTCCGGCCGGGCGCACGAGGCCCGGCGTGCTCGTCCGACGCGCTGGTCGCTCCTGCGGGGCTGGGGGATGGAGGCAGCAGCACGGAAGGCCAGCAGGGCCGCACTTCGCGACTGGCCAAGAGCCGCTGGAGAGCCTCGCCGGAACAGAAGCCCGAGAGGCGGTAGCAGCAATGCTCTAGAAAGGGGACGCTAACGGCAGGCCACTCTCTCCAACCTCGTGCCCAGCCACAAACTGCTGGTAGCCCCAAACAAATAAGGATGAAGTCTTGAAACATTTTTCCCCACGTAGCAAAACAAGGCACGGATCCAGAATTGCTTTCGACAAAGCCAAGGGACTCATGTGGCTCTCGGAAAGAGCTTCCTGTGTGTGGCGACAGAGACAGCCACCAGTGATGCTCGGGAAGAGCCTCTTTCCGCATCCCTTTCCCACAAGCACACCATCTGCTTTCAACGTCCACTTTCCCTTTAATTCCCTCACAGCTAAGTTCCTCAAAATGCTAGCAGTCTTCGTCCTGGAATGCATACATTACAATGGGTCTTAATTAAACACTGGAAACAGAGTAAGATGATTCTTTTTTTTGAGCTGGAGTCTCACTCTGTCACCCAGACTGGAGTGCAGTGGCCGCTCCCGGCCACCGCAGCCTCGACCTGCTGGGCTCCGGCGATCCTTCCGCCTCAGCCTTCCGAGTAGCTGGAACTACAGGTGTGCGCTACCACGCCCAGCTAATTTTTGATTTATTATAGAGATGAGGTCTCGCCAAGTTGCCCAGCCGGGTCTCGAACCCACGGGCTCAGGCAGTCCACTCACCTCAGCCTCCCAAAGGCATGGGATTACAGGCTGAGCCACCGAGCCCAGCGTAAGATGATTCTTGAACTAGCTGGCTTGTTGGCTCATGGTGTGAGTCTTAGGTTCTTTTATAAGAAAGGGGCATCCTTTTGCTACTTGAAAACTATTACATTCAAAATGAAATGAATGTCTCCAATATGTACATACTTAAGAAAAAGTAAAGAGAAAATAAACATTGACATCCACGCATATTCAAAATGGCTATTCCAGACACTCAGCTTTAAAAATACATAAGCACTTGGGAGCTTAAAGTACTACTGAGTACTACCAAGAATATTAGTAATTTTCCTTTCCAAAGAGGTTACCACAGCACTTGAAAATTTCAAGAATGACTCACTGCTCTACACGAGCAAGTTTATATAAGGACTGTGGGAGCAAAAGTGACACCAGATGAATCAAACAAAGATCTTCCGGAGGCTAACCGGGAAATGAAGGGCAGACGGCCTCTGCCTGGAACAAGAGGCTGAAGAAGTGGGCCACACCCCTTGGCGGGGACGGAAGTCCTGGGGCTGAGGATGGAGAGAGCCGCATGTCCCGGGAGTGTGGCTGGCCTGCTTCTTGACGGCCATCCAGTGACTGTCCCAGGCCGGTGGAAACGTGCCTGGGTGACTCTGTAGACCAAGGAATGGCACATCCAGAACACTCCTGCTGGCTATCACCATCAGCTCTTTGCCAAAACCGCAGCTTAAAATAACCCAACCAGCCGGGCTCGGTGGCTCAACCTGTAATCCCACACCTTTGGGAGGCTGAGGTGAGTGGATTGCCTGAGCCCGCGGGTTTGAGACCCACCTGGGCAGTGAGACCTCATCTCTACAATGAATCAAAAAAAAAAAATCAGCCGGGCGTGGTAGCACACACCTGTAATTCCGGCTACTCGGAAGGCTGAGGCGGAAGGATCGCCGGAGCCCAGCAGGTCGAGGCTGCGGTGGCCAGGAGCGGCCACTGCACTCCAGTCTGGGCGACAGAGTGAGACTCCAGCTCAAAAAATAAAAAATAACTCAACCACCTTTTCTGGGTGGTTCAGCCCAGGCTCACAAGGGCCTCAGCTCACTCGAGCAGCTGATTCACACAAGCCCAGCCCCATAGGTTCTCACTCCCTTGTCTCCCAACAGGTAACAGCCCAGGGCTCCTCCCTACAATCCTGACGGAATACCTCATCATAAGTGAGCATGTATTCCACATAGAAATGTTTAACTTGTAAAGTATACTCATGTAGTAATAATAAACCTCATTATGTACATTAAAACACATGCATACCGTAGAAATTAAAAGAGTAAGAAAAATAAGCATAAGCAGATCTTCACATATCATCTCATGCTGTGCTGTAGTCTGCTGCCCCTGTTCTGGACCATGGGTCCCTGAAAACCTCAGCTCTCTTGCAGCTGTCAGCTCCTGGGCTAGAAGACTCAAATATCTAGCCCACACTCTAGCTTTCCCTAGATCAGGGGTCCCTTTTGGGGTCTAGAATTCAGCCTTGAACTGTTCTCTAATTAGCTGTCAACGGAAGTAGAAGAAAAGAAATTTGGATGGGCTTCTGAGTGGGTTAAGTCTTACACACATCGGATTTCTAAAATTTAGGACTGAAAATTGATATATTTAACAGTTTCATGAATAAATTTTTGTATTTCTTGCATGCTAAAATAATAAGTTGCCCTCATTGGACTGAATGAATTACATTATTAAAATTAATTTTGACTTTTTTTAAACCTTTTTAAATGCGGCTACTGGAAAAATGTAAATTACATATGTGGCTCACATTATATTTCCGCTGGACAGCATGAATCTAAATGACAGTTTTATACACAACTATAGGACTGAATATTGCTGACAACATTGGCATCTCTACTTTTTCCAACTCAAAGAAGACCAGACTGGGAAGGATCACCCGACACTAAGAAGCTGAGTGCATGTATTCCCTGCCAGGCTAAGGAACAGGCGCTGCAGTGATGCGAGTGCTTGTGCACACACGGCTGACAAGGGGGCAGATCCTCGACTTGGTAGCTGCAGCTTTGCCACGTTGCTCGAGTACTAAAAATAAAGTTATCAGTCAACAAGGGCATAAGCTGGATATCATTTCTCTCTCCGTTTCGTACAGCACACAGGCTGGAGAGTGAACATCACACTCTTCACTTCAGTGAAGAGGACTGTGGTACCAAGGTAAAAAGCAAGGAAATGCTACACCAACTACTACATTTCCAAAGGTTAATCTAGATGATTGCCAAGTGGAAGATGATGGAAGCTACAGGACAGTGCTGTGGATCTGGTCTTACTGGCATAATTAATAGAGAAAATTGTATGCTTCCATGGGTGCTTTTGGTTATTGTTTTCCTGTTTTTTTTTTTAAACTGAGATATAGTTCACATAATATAAAATTCACTCTTTCAAAGTATATATTTTAGTGGTTTTTAATATTCACCGAGTTGTGCAATGATCCCCACTATCTGATACAGACCACTCTCATCATCTCTCAAAGAAACCTACCTGCTTTCTGTCTCTGTGGATGTGCCTATCCTGGAAATTTCCTATAAATGCAATCAAAATCTGTGACCTCTTATGCCTGGTTTCTTTCACTTAGCATAAAGTTTTCAAGTTCATCCACATTATAGCACGTGTCAGTGCTTCATTCCTTTTGTGGTTTAATAATACTCCACTGTGTGCATATACTACGTTTTACTTTCCATTCATCTTGATGGGACACTTGGGCAGTTTCTGTTTTTTGGCTATTATGAGTAGTGCTGTTATGAACATTCATGACAAGTTCAGGAGTGCACATATGTTCCCAACTCTCTTGGGTATATCTCTAGAAAAGAAATCGTTGGGTCTGAATACTATTAAATACTTATTGTTAAAATATAGTATTCACTAATTTATACAATAGTTATGGCTTCAAAAAGATTAAAGCAGAGATTTATCTTTTTTTTTGAGTTGGAGTCTCACGCTGTTGCCCAGACTGGAGTGCAGTGGCAGCCTCGACCTGCTGGGCTCCGCGATCCTTCCGCCTCAGCCTTCCAAGTAGCCGGAAT